AACCGGAATAAGCATTCTGGAAACATAATTCCTGAACCTGTTGCTACCGACATTTTGGACACATACTGTTAAGCTTATCTATCATGGATTCAACAAACAATGTGGGTTTTACTTTTTAATTTATTTGTATTTTAGTTTACAAACGGTTTTCTATATTTTGGGATGCGTAGAACAATTATGGAATACGAGAAACAAATCCGGAATATCTTAATTTTGTAGTTTTTTAGTTTTAGTCATATAATAACCATATAAGTACCTTAAATTGTGTTAGTACCATTCCTTAGAGAGGAAATAAGTCTATATTACCCATTACAAGTTATTCTGGAATGGTACTAACAATATAAAATGCGGAGAAGCAATTCAAAAGCGACTTTGTCGTACCCTGGAATTGACTTTGCCAGTTCTAAATGTACGGTGTCAGATTCCAGAGTCAAAACTCTAACTACAACCAAATACTCCGGAATGAATACTGCTTCTCCGGAATGCCCTATGGAGAAACTTGCCATTTTTTTAAAAGTTAAAGAGTTGGTTATTATTAATAAATTATTCGTTTATAAGAGTTAGATTACTTAATTTCCCATTTTATATTTATACTAAAAAGTTTATACTTTTACAAAATAATAATGATAATATTCTTATAGTTTTTATTTATAATAACAATAACAATGTATTTATATTTTTTTAAGCATATATAAAGTGGAACTTATAAATATTTTGAGGTTATCTATTTTTGCTATATTAATAAAGAGATATTACTGAGTTGCTATTATGTATATCAAATTCAAGTAATGTTATATTTATAGACGAAAAACAAAAATACATTATTCATATTGGTAGCAAAGTAAGTATTATTATTATTATTTTTTTGTTAGAATGTGACTTGAAATTTGATAACCCGACTCGGAATGAAGTTGAAAACTCGATTGAAGATTTCAAAGGAATAATTGTTTAGAGTAGGCTAAGGGTCGTTGACTTGAAGTTGTATGGACACGTTTAGTTCTTTTCGGATTTACATGTATATGATTTCAGTCCTATAATTGCTAGGGCTCACGGTTATAAGTATTCGTAACTAGAGATTTCAATGTATCACTTTGAAAACAGCTGGGTGATAGAAAAGTTCTTTGGTTTCTGTCCGTGTGTTACACCGACATAACCACGTCAATTCTCAGTGTCATTTTTATTGCTTTTCGCTTGGGTAACATCTTCACTTTGCCCTTCAATACTTTAATAAGAGATATATAGTTTTCATTTTAATTATGGTTAAACGTTAAAGAAAAATGAATTGCGTCAAATAACAATGTATGTACTTATTTTAACCGAGATAGGCAATGTAGTTATTTTTAACTCGCAATAACAATCGGCTTGCACTCTTTTTACCAATACAAACGATCTTTAAATTGAAATTATAAATATATATTATATGACACAGGTTGTTCTCATAACCTAGATAATATTATTCTCAGACTTATTCTACAGAAGCATCTCAAAACAATATGAACACATTAATTGTATTGGTCCAATACAAGATTTATACACATTTAACCCGACCTATTTATAGTAAATGAGTCGAAAGTATCCACCCTAGAATAGCAACAGCATAGTTGCATACTTGCATGGGTAAAGTGGTTGAATGGATGACGATATATGTCATACATAAAATGATGTTTTTTTCTAGTCTGAATAAACCGTCTGGTGTCTTAATTCATTCATTAAGCCAGGTTTTTTGGCTCAACTCATTATGTCCATTTTAAGTTAAAACAAATATGAAAAAACTAGAAACAACTTCAAATAACAGATTCACGATTAAAACGAATGTACCACAGTTAATGCATCATGTACAAGTTATACGGATGGCTCTAATGAGGGTTGAAACTTGGGAGGCACTTTAAGTAAAGGAGCTTGGAGATCAGCCGGGTTCCCTAACTGACCACATGCAGCCATCTGATCATCTCCTCTACTCGGCCTCATGAACACAGTCAAGCCACCCTCAGCCAAAATGTTTCTAAACTCAACCATCTTTTCATCTGCTGTGGGTTGGAAGTGGGACCCACTGTGCGGGTTGAATGTAATCAGATTAATCTTGCATGGAATCCCCTTCACAAGATCAATTATCCGCTTTGCATCATCAATGCTGCAAAATTAAATACAACAAACACCCAAACGTTCATTATTAAGTTTTGACTTAAACATATATTAAATATAATTTAACCTGTCATTGACTCCAGCAAGCATCACGTATTCAAATAAGACTTTGTATTTATGTTTGAACTGGAGCTCTTCACGAAGGGTGTCAAGAAGTAAGCTCAAATTGTACTTGCGATTAATGGGCATGATCCAGTTCCTCACCTAATCACATAATTAATTAATTAATATGGAAATAAAAACCGAGAGGTTTTTAATTAAAATATACTGTAG